ACACACCTTTGCTTTGGGGTGATGATGCCAAGCAGTGGAGTAATCACTGAGAGACCAAAGCGCAGTGGTTCAGGAGCACTGCTAGGGCTCAATGGTGGGTCCCATCCTGGACCTCTGAACTCACCCGTTCCAGCCCATGTTGCTGCCTGCAGCCTCCTGCCTTTCCTCCTTGCAGAACTCTGCCCACCCCAAGGCACAGGAAGAAGCCAGGTTCATATTAGGGTCAGTGACAATGCTTCTGTAGTGAGGTTTCCTGAACTAGCAGCACAAAAACAAGAGCTCACACAACTGAAGGCATTTCAAGTTACAAAGGCAGCCTGCAAGGCAGGTGAGAATCTCCTTTGCAGACTGAACAGCAAATGAAAAACCTTACATTTGTCAGAGGATTGAGCTAGAGCTGAATAGCTGTCACTCAGTTACAGAGATACACTCACATCCTTGATGCTATTCTACATTTAAACCTCAAAGCAGCTGAAGGTATTAGATATTTTTAAGTGGGATTCTGACTAAAGAATGGCAGAAATAAGAATGCAGTAAAGAGATCTGTGCTCCAGTTCTACCCTTCATCCCTGCTTTAGGTGTTCAGGAGTGCTGCTGTTTCACACTTACTCAAAAAATCCAAACTGATTCAGCTGAATTGTGGGCCCCCAGTACCATCTCTGTTATTTCCAGTGAATCGCTGCCTCAAGGCCTGCAGCACCAGTGAGTCAGGTGTATTCCTCCTGGACTTCTACCTGTTAGTAAGGCCCGTAGTGAAAATAGGGCAACTGCTGGCATTACCCAGGGCTATGCTAAAATGATTGATCCAAACACTTGTTTGAGTGTATTTTGGCCCTGTGCAGCGAGGTCCTGTCCAATAGGAACATCCTCACACTACAGAAATCCACCATCACACTTCAGCCTGAGAAGCTGCAGTCAGGAGCATCAGCCTTAGTCAGCACTACAGCACTAACAACTGCTGGGCTTGTCTGCATGACTCAGCCCCACTTCCACCAGACCTGCTGCACCATTACATTCAGCAATGCCCCAGGAAATTCAGGGTAACAGCCAATTAAACTTGCCCTTATTTCAGAGTCAATGAAGCAACACCTGCAGCAGAGAGGCTTGTGCTGCAGCAGTTGCCCCAGTCACAGGGGCACGCTCCTGTCAGCCAGAACTGGCAGCTGTTGTTACCCAGCAGCCGCCGGGTGAGAGAACACGAGTGTGCTGAAGTTCCCTTTAATACAGAGCCAAATTAACACTGAATATAAAAAGCATCCAAATTAAATGCAGGCGGCCAGCTGTAAAGTCTATACAAACAAATACCATTCCAAATTCTCAATGCTTGCGCTATCTGCAGGTTCCCCTCCCACTCCACAGTGCCCTACAAAGAGGCTCTCTGTTCTATTTCCCCCCCAGCTAAGAGCTGTACTTTGGAGTTACCACTATTTTCTTTTGTACTTCCTGCCACATTTTGGGAAAAGGAGATTCAAATTCTCTTCCACTAATCAGTAACTATTCCTACTTGAAACCACGTTAAGAGCCCATCCTAAGCATTCCCTTTCACTCACTGTCACTGAAATAGCAAATATTACACTCTCCTGGGACAGTCACAGACCCAAGTTCAACCCCTACACTTCAGAAACCAAAATTCCTGGCTAGGAATCCCTGGCTAAACCCTTGCCATACCAAGCGAACTGTTAAGAATCTGAGATTTCCTTTCTCATCTACCCATACAAAGGTGATTTGTGTTTTGACCATTTGAATCAACAGGTTAAAGATTTGGGATTTAAAAAAAAAAAGAAAATGAACATTGTTCCCAAAACATAAGATTCTCACAGCTGCTATTTAGACAAGCTCTTCCGTTCACGCAGGTTCCTCCACAGCGTTGCACCGGAGACCACATTTGTAATGGTAGGTTAAGGAACTTTGTACAAAATGCAACCCCTCACCTGCAAACACACCTTGTCTGTTGGGAGACAGGGAGGCCATCCTGAAGGGCAGTGGGACCCAGCACAGCTGGGGGCTCCCCCAGGCTCACAAACTGGCCCATCCCAACACACTGGAAGTCAAGCAGAGCCAGCAGGCCTGCATGCACAGACATGGGGCTCTCAGTTCTACTTACCTATGAAAAGCAAGCACACAAGAGGTGGAAGCAGGAGACCAAGGAGGATTACAGAGAGACTCTGAGCATGCACAGGTAGGGCTAGGAAATCCAGTCTTCATGCAGTGCCCAGGGGCAGCGCAAGGGGCAGTGAGCACAGAACCAAACTGCATGTGGCTTTAAGCTCGAGGCAAAGGAGGTGGATGAGATGATCTCCAGCCTCAGCCATGCTGTGGTTTTTCTGAAAAAGGAACCTAAGCACTACTTCTGTTCTGTCAAAGCTGGAGAAGTGATACGATTTCTGGCTGAGCAGCACAAAAACCACCACACTACTTCCGGAGTTTTACAAACATATCATTCCCAAGAGACTTGGTACAACTGACCTCCAGGATTGCTGGCGCTTCAAACACAGAAATAGTGAGAACAGCTGAATAGAAGATCTAATGAAGATATAGAGCAGTCGTGTATCAAAATGCTGCTGTATTAAGGTTATCACAGAGCTGCCCAAACAGCACCGCATCAGTGACAAGGATGGCCACGTTTCTGGCTACAACTCACCTGCTTGCAGGCACCTGAGGGGCAGCACTCCTCAGCCAGGTGGGTTGGGCTGGGTGACTCGCCTGCTTTCATAGAGCCCATGCTGTGTGCAGGACAGCTGTTTGGCACGTCGAAAGTAAGGAAGGCAACCTTACCAGGGCTTCTACACACATGTAATGAAAAAGCTGAATATGTCACAGCGTACTTCAACAAAGCCTGTAGAAACAGAAAGGCGACTTTTCTTGCTTATGAAAGCACCAACTTCAAAATCCACCAGTTTATTTTACTGGCCAAAGTATTAAACACTAAACAAAACAAGCCTTTAGTTACAATAGGAATGTAAATTTTCTTGTACAATTCAGAAAACACTGTAAGGTTAAAACCTTTACTAAAAATTGCTAAAGCAAAACATCACTCAGCAAACCAAAAACTGAGGAAGTGTGGCACATTCAGACTCAGACCCTCAGGTGAAGAAGCATCCAGCTGCAGTCATCCTGCTGGTTTCAGCAGACACTGTGAAGTGTGCACATCTAGTTTGCTGTTTTAGAATTACAGAATTAAACAGAATTATACACACATATACATGCAGCAATGTAAGCCTCAAACACTGAGAAAAGTTGTCAAATAATTCACTTAGAAATTTCTAAAATCCTCATAGACCACAGACCTACTCAGAAGGGTGGCAAAAAGTGCTGTATTTTTGTACTCCTCAAATCCATCGGGTATTCAAGACAATTCAGTGGCATTTCACTCCCTTTAGAAAACCCACTGCAGTTCTAGATCAAGTGGTTGGAGGCCATACAATTTTTGCACAAATGCTATAGATTTTCTAAACAAAAACAATTCTACTCAGCTTTTAAGAGTTTTGAAAATGTTGCTGTTCAAAGTTGTCATTGGCAACAGTTTCCTCTGATTCAAAACAATGAGGTCAGTTGTAAATGTCAGCATTCAGCAACTTCTGTCATTATAATTGGAGATGATTCACTCCCACATAACATTTTTTCCCTGCAGAATGTTGCAACTATGTGTGACATTTGGAGTGCATTCATCAGAACTACCTACTACAGGGTAGACTACAATATGAAACGATAGAATAGCCAGAAAATAGGAAAAAACTGCTTCTTTAGTATATACATATATATTAAAAAAAAAAAAGAAAGAAAAAAGAAAAAAAAAGAAAAAACCCTGCTTGTTTAGTATACTTTCAGTCTAAAATGATCAGATAATGCTAAAAAAACCTGAGGCTTTCAATATTTCAGAAGTAACAAGAAAGAATTAATAGCTTTGTTTCTGGCCCCACCTTCCCTTCAATTCTGCGTTGGAAGCAGTGCAGCACATCTTCTGGAACACACTGCAGACATTCAGACAATAAATAGTTCTGCCTTCCTTCCCCCACTGCATTTTTGCATATTTTTGAAGAAAGCAGCACAGCTGGAAGTTATATTATTTTCATTAGTAAAGAAATTGTTGAGTCTCTGTCAGCATCAAGGAGTGATGACTGTTCACTAAGACATGCTTATTGCCTGTGTCACCCCAGAGACTTAAGCATACGTACTTACAAGGACACACACGCGTGGAAGCAGCAGGCTCTGGTACCAAGAAAATTTCCCTTCACTTCCTAAAGGAAACATGAAGACTCGATGTAATCCTGTTCGTACCAACATGAGTTTCTGTTTCAGGTTCAAGTGAGACCACAACTAGAATCATTATTTGTATAAAATAAAAGGATAAACTAACTCTATTGACTTCACAGCATCCCAGTCATGTTATGTATCTACACTCGATGGCATTTTAGATGCTTCAGGACTGGCATGACTTGCAGCTGAGGTGGCTACATCTCCCAAATATAAGGGATGCCTTTGACATAAACACCTGGTTTGAAACACTATCTACTCTGACACAGTCCATGAATTAAATGAATCCAAACCAAGAGAATTACATGGTAGTTCTAGTTCCTCAGTGCTAACTCATAATCAGTGCAGTCACATTTGCCAATTGCAATTTTATCTACCTATTCTCATTTTTATTTCAATTTTAATTACTGTGTTTCCATGATATTGTTAAGCACAACCCCACAAGAGGAAGTCAGGTGGCAGCTGGGAGTTCTGCAGGTTATTTTTCATCATATCCAACACAAATGTCAAGGAAAGGAAGAACTCTACATTCAGTATGTGCTTGCAGTTCTCCAGCTGCCTGAAAAACCCTTCTATTGCCTCGCTCTATTGTTACTTATGTTAGTCCAGACATGCTGGTCAATGTGAAACAAACACATTAGTATCAAATGTGTATTTCAACAAAGTCTAATAATAATTAAAAAAAAAAAACAAACAGTAACAATACAGGCAAATTTTCTGCTGTATGAAGTACTTACAAAAGCATATAATTTCAAAAACTACCAGTTTATTTTACTGGCCAAAGTATTAAACACTAAACAAGTTGATAGTTTGTACAATAGGAATGTAAATTTTCATGTACAATTCAAAAGACATTTCACTGTGAGAAGGTGAAATACTACAATGCAAAAACAAAACAGTGTCATTCAACCAACTGAAGAACATGAGAAAGCATGGTACATTCATTTACACTCAGACTCAGCTGAAGACAAACACCCATGGACTGCTGCAGCTACTTCAACAAGTTGAAGGAATATTATGAAATGTGCACGACAAGTTTGCTGTCTTAGAAGTAGAATGATACGACTAACCGCCTATCAGTTACGTCTTCTCATCTCTTAATTAATCAACTACAAACCTGAATAACATTAGCTGCTTAAATGTTACTTGTGCTTCAGTTTAAGTTAAAAAGGGACACAGACATTCATCTCTAGGCAGATCAGAAAGTCTACCAGAACGTTAATGTTAGTGCTCGGGTCTGTTCCGAGGTCTTTCTACGTCCTTGACACAAAGGATCACTAGCTGCAGAAATCAGGACTGCTGGGAATTAGCAGCCATTAGATCCTCACCCCGATTCCACACCACGCACCAGGATTTGCTGTCTATCAGATCATCACTGCCACTGATTTTTTGCTTCTCCAAATTTCCACGTAAACCATTTTAATGTTTGTTTTTAATTAAAGCCTGAAGCTTATAAAAATTGGTATCAAACAAGGTCACCACACAGGTCAGGTAACTTAGAACGTGTTACACTTCAACGATTTCTAACTAGAAAAATAACAGATACAAAACACTAGCAGTTACATTGCTAGTTATATTTACATTGTAATTTCCCTTTGTGCTTGCAAGTTTCTGAAAGTACACATCCTTTGGTACTATTAGTCTCAAGTAACAAGTTCACGGTAAATGCAGTTACACTCCTGAATTGTTTGGTTCAGTGCAAAGGGTTCATACCTTATTTTCCACACGATACCTCTACATAAGCACATCGCTTCCTCCTCATAAATAATGCAAATACCAGTGACAGCAACTTTTCCATGAGAAGTTTTGTGCCCAACATTTGAGAAACTGAAAGGAATAGAGTCAGTCACACTTGTCTGAAAAGTGACTATTAGAGTCGGTGATAAGAACTGCCATCCACAAGTACTGCTACCACGTGACATTTGGCCCAGTTTCAAAGATTCATATATAAAACAAAATGCATCTTTACCTCAGATACTTGTAGGCGTACAGAAATATGAACACTGCAGTGTATACTGACAAAAACCACCATAACATCAAACACTAACTGATGCTTCTAGTTTTAACCTCACATGTAAGTATACCTTCCTCATAACTCACAGAAGAGCACTTATATTCTTACAGTGCCATTCCAAAATGTTATACTCATGCTGCAAGGCTCCTCTTAAAAGAGATACTTGCAGTTTTATGTATGCTAAGTAGTAGTGAGTAGTAGAATCTGGGATAGAGGATCTCTCTGTCCCTACATAGTGCATCTGTAAAAAGCCAGACATCTTGGTCAGTAGCTAAAACAATATTTGTTAATTTGGTAAAGATGCAAACTGCATGAAGTCATAAAGAATTGGAGGATAAATGCAGGATGTCAGAGAGGAACTTTCCAACCTATTAGAAGCTGACGCAGAATAATTAGAACTCTATTTACCACTACTGTCAAACGTGAGCAGAATAAGAATTTACAGGTTTGAGATTTAAGAAAGTAACACAGGACATACTAGGAGCTTAAGGTACAGTACCAATATCTGCATAAAACCCCATATTTCATTTTGCCAATGTAATGATATCAATCTGTTGACAAAGTTATGCTAATACTAGGAGGTCGCTGTTGATTAGGTTGTTTGCTTAATGCTGGGAGGTCTGTTCTTTCCGTTCCATAGATAAGTTTTTCCTCCTGGAGACTGCAAGCTGAGAACCTGTTTGCCTCTGTACCAGATACGCCTCCACGATTATTCACAACTGTGACACCACTGACCTGTTCAAAGGATTTACTAAACACAGTCGTGGTAGTTCTGGCCAAACTATGGCTACCAGGCTTAGGCAGGGACTGGCTTGTTGTCAGTGTCAGTCTCTTCAAAGAGACAAGCTCTAGGTTCTCACTCAGGGCTCTCTGAGTTTGCTTTCGTGACAAGTGTTCTCTACAGGTTTCTCCTTCTTTTTCTCTTCCTGCAGCTTTGCTTCCTCCAGATCTTCGTTGGCTCTTCCCTAAAAGGTTCTTACTGCTCGTGTTGCTGCTATTAGATAAAGCAGACTGACTTGTGCTAGAAGCAGCCCTAGAGTAAAACCCTTCATCAGTTTCAGATACTTCTATCAGTTCTTCTTCAATTCCTAAATCTGTATTTCCTGTGTGGTAGAAAAAAGAAAAAAATAATTAACATTTGCCTTTCTCACATCTATTGACTTTATGCATTACTAGACCTTGATATTTACAAGCATGAAGCCATAAAGCAACAGCACAGAGAATGGAAGACCAAAACTTACCTATTACATTTTGTAATCAAGAATCATTAGGATATAAAATGCCAGCAAATAATGCTGCATTAACTAGATCAAAAAGCATGCCTAAAATTTCATTCTGTAGTGATTTTGATTAAAAAAAAATAAATAAATAAAAATGCAGCATTGTTAATTCATGCAGATTAGAAATAGATTAGAAGATACCACACAAAAGTGCAAATCTCATTTTGAGCAAGTGCTCCAATACAAGTTTTTGCAAAGCTCAGTAATTATAAATGATCTGTGATCAACGGCCCAGAAAACCCAGTGTGGCAGCTGTTCATTCAGCAACCCAGGAGTGCATTATTACTGAAAGGTCACCTTCTGCACTATAGGCCTCATGGCATGAGTTGGAAACTCATGCACAATGGAACATGAAACCTCCAGTATACCACATGTGGAATTTGGAATATTTTAGGTATACAGGGAGACAATTTTCACTTCCTTTTTGATCGATTCTTCATAATGTTCATCACTGGATTTTGTAAATCCAACAAATATGTTTAGGAAATTCAAGGAAATGTTGAGTCTCACAGTGTACAGTTTCCAGATCAAAAATATCTGCTTGTAAGTATGTTGTCATTGTCCATGGCACAGACAAGAGCTGTGTGCAATACATGCATTTGTGTTATTACACATGCAATATATTAACTGCATACTTCAATTCTTCAAACATGCAGCAGTGATCCTTTCAATCAGTGGTACCTTAGAGTGCAGCTACAAGTGCTAAAACTGCACTCTGCCAGATGAGTTTATTCCATCCTCCATCATTTTTCTTACAGATTTTTGCCTCCTGATTTCTGGCATGCATTTGCTGTCAGTTCTAGGGTCTGTAGCTGTTTCCTGTACTCCCTGTATATGCTGAGCATCATTCTCTGCTAGTGCTCTGCTCTTTTCCCCATTCCCGGTTTTCTCTCCAGACACATTTGTGACACTAATTTCAGGTATGACAAAGTTGCCCATTTCAGTAGCATCATTACCATTCTCTGCTTGTTCTAGAATTAAAGATGGATAAGGAAAAAAAAAAGACAAAAATGATGCCTGAAACAAAACATGGAACAAAAAACAACAGAAACAGATGATTAAAGCATTATGAATTAAAGCAGATGTTCACACATTGACCTCTTGTTAATCAGCAGTATTAGTGAGTATGAAGTTCTCTTCTTAAATAGTGCGAGTCTATCTTCCAATGATCATCCTTCACCCACATACTGGGAAGTCCCACATCCAACATTTCAGTTTTGAAACACTATTTGATCTGGAGGAGACCCTCCCCCAGCTCCCACCCTGAGGATCCCTGTGCAGGCACAGTGCATTCCCAGGCAGCATGCTGCAGCCCTTGGCTCTCTGCTAACGCCACTGCTGTCTGCATTCATCACAGAAGAGAAGTCAGTCCCAGACAAAGAAAGATATTCTGACAGGGATGGACATCACCATCCCTCAGTTAAGAAGCTATCCCTGCTTTTACCTGTCATCATTTGTTAACATGATTCTTTCTAACTGACTAGTCAGCTACTTGTGGAAGTGTCAATTTAACAAGTTGCACTAGTCAATGGAAATGGAATTATTAGCTGCTGTCATTAGCTACTAATTTTCTAATATTTGTCAAGAAACGAATTAAAAGTTGCAATTCTTCTTCCTTCTAAGAGGTCATCCCTTCCACAGAGTTGTTTTATCAGTAACACAGTAACAGCTGCAACTGAGCACTGTGAACTGCAGCTATATTAGAATATCATTATACACAGCACTTTTTCCAGAGACACATGAGCAGAAAATTAAGAGAGGAAACCACCACTCATTGGCTCCAATGGTCTCATTACACAGGGCTGGGGTAGCTGTGCCTCTCCTACAGCAAGTCTCCAAACTGGTTCCCTCTTCCCCTGTCAGTGCCACTGGAGGCATCTTACTCCAGCAGAGCTACTTCCCAGGATCCACTGAACTCCACGTGCACAAGTCTATTCTGGAAACTTCATTTACAGCTGGGAAACCAGGCTGAGGAGAGGGCAGAACAGAGCCTGCAGTCAGTCCCTTCTCCACTACGAGCAGAAATGCATTAACAAAACAGCTGCTCTAGAGAAAGGAGATTCAGAATGCACCAAGTCCACAGCATGGCAGAGACTGGAAGAAAAGAGGAAGAACTTTCTACATCACACATTGGGTGATAATAGCAATAATTAATTATTGTGGTTTAGTGATGTGCATCTCTAAATGCAATTGTGTCCTATTGTGCATCAACACTCCCCATCGCTGCTGCATTCCCACTGCTGTCACCACTACAGTAAGGAACTGAAAAAAATAGGTCTTAGCATAAAACTGGCAAAACTAGTCTTGTAGACAAAACTGAACAGTTACACTGATTTGAAAGCTAACAGATATATGCTGTAGCATTTGTAGGAAAATGCATTTGAGTTATGCTTTCTGAAGGTTTGAATAGTACAACCAACCTTAACATTTGCATTTCACAATTACCAGCTGCTAAGGACTAATAAAAATGATTTCAACTATTGTCCACCTCACTGCTACAATTGCCTTTATCATTTACCTCTTGTATAAGTAGACTGCCCACATGGAATGCAACTCAGTTTTAACCATCACAGGCTCAAGCTGCATTTCCTACATAATAACATCAGCACCTTGAATTATTCACAGGAGTATCAAGCTCCTTTCTCCCAAAATCAGAACCCCCTCCCCAAAAAAGCTGTCATTATTTCAGGTAATACTGTTTCAAAATAAATAAAATAAAGGGAAATTCTCTCCACAGAGATTCAAAGACTGATATATCTCCTATGCCTTGTGCACAATCTCAAAGTCAATTCTTGCAGTGAGAAAAATTAGCTTGACTTTATTCTCTAGTCAACATCTTTGGTTTTGTTACGTACCCTACTGTCACCTGCTCAGCTCCACTTACTCAGTCTGTCCCATCACAGCATGCCTTACATGCACACAAGTTTTTCCCAACAGCTCTTTGTGGGGAAGTTGGAGAGATCTCAGATTTAGATTACTAAGAAAAGCATTGCTAGCAGATGCCTTTTTTTTGCCCTAGCTTCTGTAAATAACATTTCAGTGTTTATAAGTTACATAAACTGCACAATTTCTCTGCTTTGCCTCTACTTGTGAATAGAAACATGGATGCCAATTTTTTTTTTTTTTTAAACAATAACACAAAGGCATGAAAAACTAACATTAGATCAAATTCCCTTTAAGCTGTATGATTCAACTCAAGCCAACCCAATGCAGTAGCTCCAAGTAATCTGTCAGTAAGTGGTGGCTAATATCAACTCGCTCTAAATCCTATTCATGAGTAATGGATCCATTCTGCAAAAGACTTTTGCACTTAGTATCTCTGTCAGAAGCCCAAATCAAGGATACCAACTTGATTTGAAAACAAAAGTCCTTCTCAGTAACAAGAATTATAATCTTGTTAAGTATCCAGTGTCCCAGAAGTTCAGAAATAAACTGTTATTTTTAATAAAATAACAATAAAAACAACCCACATGCTTCTCAATCAGAAATGTGATCAGCTGAGATTCTTTTGTTTTTTATTCTGTACCAATAGACAGATTTAAAATTGCTGCCCTTGCAGCCCAGGGGACATTTTGCTTTGTGAGTTCTCATGGCCCATGTAATGCATAAGAAACTGCCTCTCAGCTGCCTCCTCTAGCTTCTGAATCCATTTGTGTAACTCACTTTGTATTGAAATACAAAAGTAAAATCTCTGAATTGATTCTTTCTCTCTGTGGCAGAGCAGTGGGTCAGAAGGTACAAGGTTTGTCAGCCTATTTCTACCAGCTCCTGTATTCATTTTAATTCTAGAAAGCATCTGTAAGCACAAGCCTCGTTATTCTTTCTGTACACCTACCCTGAAGATCTATTCCACATCATTCATAGGGCACTGTGGGACACTGAATTTTATTGGAGATATTTCATTCTGATTTTAAATGCTTCTGTTCCAGCCATAAACAACAGGGTTTTTTGTTCTGTTTTAGAATTTTCTGATGAGGTTTTGGAGCAGCCTAGCTCAAGTGCTACATACTTGAAACACTTGCCATGTAAACCAAAAAGATTTTGCTGATCAGTCAGAAATGCAGTCCTTCTTTACATCCTGTACCACTAGACCAATACAAAGCTCTTTCAATAACCCAAACAGAATGATGACAAGAGTTTGTTAGTGGAAGTCCTCGGTGTTCCTTGATCTTCAGTCCTCGACCCAAATACTCACTACTTCTCACTTCTGTCATACTAACTAGATTATCACTGTTTATCTTTTCCTGCTCTCTTCACCCCATTTCTACAAATCCTACTTATATTCTTACTACCCTTCCACCTTAGTGCTATCGCTTACAGTGAACATTTGTCCCACCATTGGTTCTTGACTTTCTCTCAGTATTGGCCCTCGAAGAAGAAATAGTTGTAAGAACTTTCACATTCTTGTATTTGCTGAAAATAATTGGATTCCCATTAGGATAATTTTATATTTCATTTTCTTCTGTAAATGCAAGAGCAAAGGAAACTTTGTTTTAATACTTCCAATTCCTCTGAATGTGTATAAACACTCAGTGTCCCTGATCCGCGTTCCCATTTACCACTTGAAAATGACAGCAAAACTGCCAAGCTTTAGAGGACATGTCTGCATTTAGAAGCCATTATTATACAGTATCCTGACACCAGGTCAATATTTCCTCCTCCTTTTAAGCAGGAAGAAAGGAAAATAAACAGTAAAGGCTAAAATGTTCCTTAGCAGTCTTGAAATCTCAGAAAAGACTTACACTCTTACTACTGAACCACACTCATATCAAAGACACTAATGTTCTGCTCCTCGTCTTTGCCTACCAGTTTAAGTTAACAAATCAAGCATTTTATTGAAATGAAAAGAACTTTAACTATTGTAACTTCCTTTGCCCTTCCTCGCGTTCAAAAGCTTACTACTGGAACTCACACCAGCATGTATCATCACTGCTCAGAAATCTTTCTTGTTATTTTTAAGCCCTCTTTTATCAGAATATTTATAATCTTCAACAGCTACCTGAAATATCCCCGTGTTGTGCACTGTTGTTTTTGTTTGTTTGGGTTTTTTTTAAACACAGATCTATGCAATAATTTTTTGAACTGAACCTTTGTATAATCAAAGAATATTAGGCTGTTACAATTACAATAAACAAGAGAGTTAAGGCAAAGTAGACTATGATAACAAGAGAGAATAAATGGAAGGCTTACCCTTATGTTGGACTCACCACAAAACACCAGAAGGAGGGATCTCCAGAAGAGATCCATCCCCCCTGGCAGTCAGCTCTTAAATAGGTCTAGGAGGGCTGGAGCCAGGCTCCACCCCTTCCAGCAGCACAGCTGAATTGCCTTCACCTGTGCTCCTCTGGCTGACTCATGGCTCGCCTCAGGTGATCAATCAGAGGTTCAGGCCGTGACTCAGCAGTTCCCATACAACTTTATATATACTACAAAAAAGTTCTTATAGCACACATCATATAGAAATCATCATGATACTGTTTTAAAGTCTTTATTTAGCCTATTAAAAGAACACTTATCTACACTGACTCCTCCCTTTCATCAGAATTACAAACACAGCACAGCAAGCCACTGGAAGTTTTGATCTCTGGTTCAGCAGCTCTTCCCCCACCTGAATCTGGTAGAAAAAGTGGAATACATTGATTGTCCTTTTGCAGTATATTCAGCACCATTTTTTTCTACTCCTCAGCATTGACCTGTGCTTCACTTTGTTGAAGCCCTTACGCTACTTCACCTCAAAAGTAATAATTTACCCCCTCTAGCCTTAAACATTGTTTTTATTTAGATAACTTAAAACAAATGAGGCACTGTAGCATATTTATTAAACATTCGCTTTGCTTCAGGTACCATACACTACTTTTCAGAAGAGAACAGGAACATAAGTGTCTTGAAAGAATCAAAAACGTTGTACAGCAGCATTTAACAAAAAGGTGTTCCATTAAAAGGAAAAAAAACAGGATTGAGGAAATAAGAGAATATACTTTCTGATCCACTAAGTTTCTCATTTACCAGTTATCAAATTATCTGCCACTTGCTTACCATCATCAGCAGAATAGCACCCATGTCCAACTGTGACATGTTTCATCTAGTATATAGCATCTTCACACTGTTCCAGACCCACATTAATAATGTAAGTTTAAGAGAAATTATATAATTTTAGGAATAAAAGCACAGTGTCAGTTCACTAAGGGCATTCTCATTAGCAATGACAATGCATAAATACAAAACCCTCAATATTATTTTAAACAGGTGTAAGAAACTAAGAAACCATTGTAAATTGTGCCTCTTACCATGTCTTTTCCATCTGTGCCCTCGGATAGACATACTAGTCACAGCATTTCTTGATATCCTGGATGAAGTAGGTGTAATTTCAACCTGAATGCATTTTGTACCTTCTTTACTAGACTTCATGGCACCCTGAGGCAGTGAAGCTTTTATTGCATTAGCAACCTAGAGCAAGGAAAAATGCAGTTTAGGCTTGTATCAGGAATGGTGTGGTGAGCAGGACTAGGGAAGTCATCCTGGCCCTGTACTCGGCATTGGTGAGGCCTCACCTCAAGCACTGTGTTCAGTTTTGGGCACCTCAGTACAGAAAGCACACTGAGGTGCTGGAGCAGGTCCAAAGAAGGGCAACAAGGGTTGTGAAGGGCTTGGAGAATATGCCCTGCAAGGAGAGACTGAAGGAACTGGGGCTGTTCAGTCTGGGGAAGAGGAGGCTGAGGGGAGACCTCACTGTTTTCTTCCAATATCTGAAAAGGTGCTGGTCTCTTCTCATTGGTGACAGGACAAGAGGAAATGGCCACAAGTTGCATCAGGGGAGATTTAGGCTGGATATCAGGAAAAAACTTCTTTACAGAAAGGGTTGTTCAGCACTGGAATAGGCTCCCAGGGAGGTGGTTGAGACATCATTCCTGGATGTGTTTAAAAACCGTTTGGATGTGGTGCTCAGGGACATGATTTAGCAGAAGGTTGTTAGAGTCAGGGCAGCATTGTTACAGTGCAGTTGGACTTTATTATCTTTAAGGTCTTTTCCAACTTGAGCTATTCTATGATTCTATGAAGTTTTTAAACATGAAGGTTGAAATTTTAGAAAATAATTATCTCCCTACTAGGGATCCCTAGCAGTTCATAAAGATTTAGAATTAGATGATCTTGCAATCCAAGCCATTCTATGATTCTAAGCCATTCTATAAATTTCCTTCTTGCCTTTTAAGTGAGAGGATTTTTTACACATGATACGTATGTTCATAGAATCATAGAATCACAAGGTTGGACATGACCTGTAGGATCATCTAGTCCAACTGCCTTCTCATTACCATTGCTACCACAAACTAAACCACATCTCGTAGCTCCTCATCTTCTTGAACACAGCCTCTTGAACACTGCCAGGGACGGCGACTGCACCACCTCCCTGGGCAGGTTATTGCATACAACTCCAATTTATGTCAAATAAGCACACTAGCATTTTGCACAAGTCATAAAGAATGCGTGGTGCAATTAGCTTTTAGAATTAATTTGTATTTAAGATCTGTCACTATTTAAATCAGAGTCTTCAGTTTAATGACTATATGACTACTACTTAACATTAACTCCAGAGTGCTTCTGCACTATCATTACACTTTCAAGTCTTAGAAGTGTTGTACTGTAAACCACTTATTCACTTGGGAAGATGATAAAATAACTAAGTACACTGAAAACGTGTGTATATATCCTTATAGATCTAGCTACTCAAACAAGCAATACACATAGGCCTCATGAGATTTAGGTTCCTCACATGATGTTCACAGAAAGTATTTACTGAGTTAAAAACTCTACTTTAAAAATGTTGGACTACATCACCTACCAGCAGAGGTTCTGGATACAGTTCCAGCTGTGCTCTATACAAAATGTCATCCATAGCTTTACGAGCCAGATCCCATTCTCCATTATAACTGCAAAGTTAAACATATACTTAATAGTAAGCACTGTATCAATGGATGAACCTTCCTGGTCATGACTTTCAAGAAATTAGTGTCCCTTGGGAGCTCAACTGAGAGTTAATCTACTCGTGCTTATTATCAGTAAGCCTGCTACTTTAAAATGTTGTTCCGAATTAGTGCATATGGAGGCACTAGTTTTATTTTTTATTGACCTCTCTGAGCAGCTTAAAAGTAACATTGCTAGTTATTGATCAGCTAGTAATGAAATATTCTGAAATTCCAATAGGATGGTCTTAATATTAAGCCACCTTTTGAATACCCCCATGTTACTAGCCTCTGATTATTTCAGTTAATGAAAGAGCTTTACATATCAACACGACTATCAAAGGGTGGATGACATTCAACATTTTAGAGAAAGAATGCTAAGACTTTTTGCCTTAACTAGATTGATGTCAAAAACGTGGACAGCAGACAAAAGTTGGAAAAGGTTTTTTCAGGTATTTTTTCACATCATCAGTTATAACTGTTAAGTGTTATTCTAGCCTTCATTCCTCAGTATCACACCGGTAATGTCATCTAACAAGTTGGTGAACTGTGTTCTAATCCTGAAGTCTTTACTGCTACACCCAGCACATGTCCATTAGAAAATGAAACACTTCAAAAGTAGCATGCCTAAATGAACATATAAGTTAAGCTGGTGCTTCTTTATCTTGTGTGAATAATAAAGAAAAAAACACCTCTCACTTACAAGGCATAATAAATCCCTGTTAGCATTTGCACCATGAATTCAGATGAAACTGGAATCCTGCTGTTTACTCCCTTATACTTTCTCACTTGTTGGCGAGGATACCCGCAGACACAGATTCTAAAGAAATAAGGCATTTGTCACTAGTAAATAATGAAGAACCACCTTTGTATAGAACACCACTAAAACAGATGTTTGGTGTGTGTTTTAACAACAGTAGACCCAAGGACAGTGTTCATCAACTGAGAGCTAGAGCAGATCATTTCTTAATATGGAAGAAGGGAATGCCCTCTACTGGCAGTGTTCAAATCCTTCAAAATAGAGATACCCTTGATGGTAATGTTTATACCACAGTTGAACACTGAAAACTACCATTAAAGTCATTCTCAATTAAAAGCATTTTCAGCAGGGTAGACAAAAAATATTAATGGTATTTGAGGAAATGAAACAGTAAAAAAAAAGTATGAAAATAGCACACAAATTTCAAGCAAAGAGACTAGAAGAATCACATTTTAAAAAAACATTCTAAACTCCAGTAGAAGTCAGCATTTGAATTTAATTCTGATCCAAATTCCACATCAACTTTCATAGTCAAAAGATTCAGGAAATCAAAGATATTGTGTAGTTAAATATTCAACTTATTAACTGTTACTTCCAGACTTAAGGAATGATTTCTGTGACATTAATAAAAGAATTTCCTTCTTCATAGCACAGAAAGTATCCATTTCAAAAAGCTTCAACCCTTCAGCTTCATTACTACCAGAGAGCTCCTAAAACACTACTTTAAAACTCATTTACGGCCCCCAGCAAAAAACAGATTAAGGTTGTATTGCTTCTTAACATTCAAATTACAGCTGTAACAGAGCTTTCAGGACTCCTCTTTTTTTTTTTTTTTTTTTTTTTTTTTTAAATGAATAACAACTTTGCCACTAACTTACTATGCTTTTTTTTCTTCTCTATTCTGCAATGCATCTTCTGCTAAGACTAATTCAAAACAGAACAAAACAAGAAGAAACAAGCATCCATTGCTCATTTGTTTTTCTGGATGTTTCTGTTTGTTTACTTGTATGAGGAATCTAGAACCTCAGAGCTACTAGTGGCAAACAGCTGCTCTGGGTCTCCTCGGTTGCCTGGGTTAACAAGAATGCTCTAACTTCTTTGATTCAGTGTCAACTTCCAAAATTCCAGAGAGACAAGTTCACTAGCAGTTCTTTCTCTTTAAAAAGAAAGAGATAAAAAAGGATGAATGCCTCAGCTTTGTCTTTTTAGTTGTTGTTATACCAGATTTAGGGAATATCCAAAACATCTGTAGGAACGAGCATATTTCTAGCTTTAGTAACTACTATATTTTCAATTAAGTTTCAACTTGTACAGCACTGAAATGTTTAGTAAGCATGCAGTGCAAAGTTAACCAAGATCTTAGAAAACATTTCTGAATTATTTGGATAAAACACCTAGTACTACTTCAATAAAAACATAATTCCTTAGATTTGACTTCTTCCTCCAGTTTACAGCACTGCTTATAAGGCAGGTCATTGCTTCTCCAATTCTGAGATCTCAGTCCACAGTCAATTAAGAGATACTTTAAGGTAAGTAATGCAGCTATCCTTTTTTTTTTTTTTTTTTTTTTTTTAATCAAGTTTACAAGCAAACTTTGGGAATGAAAGGACTTTTTTCATTATTGTTTGCTAAGTTCAAACAAATTGCATTTCAACTTGATAACATTTTAAGTATAATCAGCCTACAGAAGTTACCTTGAGCAAATTTGACACAATGACTGAAGAGAAATTGCAGGCATGTAGCTTAAGGCAGCATTGTAGCAGAGCAGAAGGAAAGTCAACACTTCAAACCTGGAGTTTACAGAAAACAACAGGTTATATTACCAATTTTACATTGTTTTTTTTTTAAAACAAGTTAAACTGTTTTACAGAGAAATTTGCAAGGGTTATTTGAACAAACTTGGTTTAATTCAATAAAATTATATATAAAATTATTATATTGATCAATGACTTGGGACTGCAAGCCTTCGCTTTTCCTATGCATCCTGCATCTAAATTTAACACACATAGAAAAACAAATGAAAGAAAAACCAGCACACACTCATTCATCTTCTGTCTACAGTTATTAAAAATTCTTAGAAGATTCTTAAATGATTATGAAGATAAATCCTATTATACAATTTCACCTGTTCTGTGCTGTCAGCATCTCCCTCTGAGGATGAGGTCCACTGTACACCACCCTGGACAAACCATGCTGGGATAAAGCTCCTTCAGTAAGAGCCATGGAGCCAATACTGGAAGGCTATAGGGGGAAAAAAAAAAAGAAAAAATTAAAACACATCCAACCTGAAGTCTTGCTACAATGCAAGTAAAAACAGACAAGAGATCAGCATCATCATATTTCTACATCAATTTCATCTGAACACCTAGATACCTTAGACTTAAGAAATCACTTTGCAGCAGGTAAAATATAAGGTTTCAGAACAGGAAGAAATACAGTTGGTACATGCATATCACTCAGTTATGACTACTGAGTCTTCAAAAGGCTCCAAAGAGCAGTTAGCAGCAATGAGTAGACTGAGAAACGTGTTACTAGGTCATGCAAAATGCAAAGACTAATTTTCACTTTCATTCTTCACTCACAGGCCCAAAATCACACTGCCTTTCACAATCAGTGACAACTTTATGCTGTAAGTGCCACTTACTTCATGATATACTGAAGGTTTGGACAAAGATGGAATAGTGAAACTCAGCACTTTGCTGTGTCCCTCTTTGTCAACTATCTCCTGAAAAAAGGCAGAAGACAACAAGACACCAAGGGTTATATTGTTCTACAGAAACCAGACAGAAGATACCTTCCTGCAGTATATCACTGGAGTGGAACATTGGCAGGCCTCTCACATCTGTAAGTTAGCAGAAAGCTAATGAGTTAGGCAAACAAACAACAAAAAAGAGACCACACATCACAGAAGAGCACTGAAGTACTCTGGATCAAAACCCTCAGCAACAACTTCTGAAGCAGACCTAACCAAAACCACACAGCCTTTAATTTTAAATTTCAGCAGCAAATTTCACTTATCCAAAGGCAGAGATTAGAAAGGAGTTTCAGTAAAGCATCTCCTAGCACAGACTAATTGCATTTTGCCTGTAACGGCTAAAATATGATGCTTTTCAAGGTTCCCTCAGAATTCTGTTTTTCAAAGGATTGATTTAACAGCAAACAGTGTATTTTCATGCAAAATATACAAGAAAGTCAAGGTTATTACAAAATGAAAGACTTTCATTTTCTCAAGAGTGAGCAATCTGTTCAACAATCAAGTACTAAGAATTTGTTGAAAGTGCCTTTATGCATGATCTCCAGCTAAGATGGTCAGAATACCACAGAAAGCATAGGCAACAACTTCAAATGTAGCACCCACAAAGGCTCTCCAGCAAAACACAAATTTAATTGCCATACCAAGAATTAATGAAAGCAAGAACTGAAGAGGAACCCTTTTCAAGTTCACATTACAGATTTCCAACTTGAACATAAATTTAAAGAGAGAAAAGTACGACACTCAATCACTTGTTTTCAGTTCTGAAATAAGAGAGCTTATCCCTTCTCCATAAACACTTTGCAGTATCCCCTTAACAGGGCCCTAATATTTTTAGGCCTGAATAATTAGGTGTAAATACAAACCAAGTTATACACTCCTAGAAGAAGGGCTTCTATACATCCACTGCTCTGCAAATCTCTGCTGGCTGAGACAGCAAGGTAGCACCACATCAGTTCGGGCAGAAACTGCAGCGTGAATCGTAGTAATTGCTCCTCACCGCTGCGATAGAACTCAAAGAGCTGATGGCAGACTGGCTCCAGAAGCTGCAATTACAACGAGGTTACTGTTAATGAGTAAAAAAATTACAAGAAACCACAACTTTGTGTAGAGGCATAACCACTCAGTAGGGGAAAAGCTGATAGGTGTTCAATTGTAGCTACCTGAGAGCGATCAGCCTGCTAACTACCAGGTCACCTTGCACAATTTCAGTCTTCTACACTTTAGATGATACAAGTGGAGTCTTCCACCACAACAGAAATACTGTTGCAACTGCTCCATCCCCTCCTTTTTAAGCCCATTTGCTCTAGCCTCACCAGCTTAAGTTAGTAGAGGATGCTTACTATCACTGCATCTCATACCATGACCTCAATACATCACCTGCACGGAAAAAACAACAGCCCAAAAGGCCTTGTTGTTGTAGAGCTCCAACAACCAACACACAAAAGTCTAAAGATTTTACCCTGCAACTGAGAAGAGCTACAGGACACTTGTATTCAAAGTGCCACAACAACTTAGTGTACTGTAGATAAACTAAATCCTTCCATTCATCCAGAAGCTTCAATGTATTCATAGGAGTTAAGGCCAAAAATAAAAAATAATAATAATAATAAAAAAAGCTGCTAAAGGTCAATATAGAGTGTTAACTATGTGTCACTACACGGGGGTAAAGACTGTCCACAACAGCAGATCCTTTCAAAGTGAGCAGAACTGGATGCTGAGGCCTCAGTCAATATAAAAATCAAAAAATCCAAAATGCTTTTTGACAGCAAACATGGCTCATAAGAATTTGCAACTATTAGAGGATCTGTTCTTTATGTTCCTTAAAATGCCCCTAAAAAATGGAATTGGGTTTAAAAAAAAAAAAAAAAAAAAGATGTTTAACTAAACATTGTAAATGAAGTGTTTTTAAGCAGTAACAAATAGCAGAAACTACTCCTTTAAAAGAATCTAGGTAGTTGCACTTGTACTTGCAAATTTTACAAACTGAAATCTGAGATCCCAGCTTTTTAGAATTCAATTTCTCAACCTCAGCTAGTATATTAAAAATCACTGCACAAAATGTGACATTCTCCAACTGCAAATCTCAAAAGACTGGATTTAAATGCAACACATCTGAAGGATTAGTTTTATTGCTTTGTTTCTTACCTCGGAGGCTTAATATCTCTCAATCGTTCATTTATATGAGTCACAGAAACAGACTCTAAATTAATTTAAATACCAGGAATGTTAAGGTTAGTAATAGATTGAAATGTGTTCCTACACAAAAATCCCCAGAAGCTTCAACCTGAAAGTGACAGAATGAAAACCAAACAGGCTAGTCTCTAAAATGCATATCTAAGACACTGTAATCATGAGAATTGCCACTGCACTTCAGAAAGGAAGGTACTATCCAGCATCTTCCTGAAAATTCTTAAAGACTGTGATACATGTACAGACATGTACAGATACAAAGTACAGATATGTACTTTCTTATCAGTAATATGCAGATCATGTTTGCCATTCATTTTGGCTCAGAAAACTGTGAAAACCTAAGGCAAAAAAGCATACGAAGCTCAACTAGTCTCTTCCCAGAGCTGATTAGCAAAGATCCTTCTAGAAGGCTTTACCAGCACAAGTGCTTTCCATCTTCAGCTTACATATTTCACAAAATTTGCATGCTTCCTTTAATGAAGTATCAGTTCTGAATGATGTGCTTGAACTTTAGAAGGCACAGAAATAGCTCTGACAGGTATCCACGTTCACATCGTTATCTCAGTTGAGACAGCTCTGTATCAGCACGTTTCAATGCGTAATCAGTACAAAAACAGATATTCTTCCTTGAAATGCCACCACATGCTAAAACCTAATATCAAAACACACGAGTTGCTGCTGTTCCAAGATAATGTTTTCACACTAAACCAGTTCTAAAAAGCATGAAAACTTCTAGCGCTGGAACAGAAGAACATTGAAGTAATTTCATCCCTCCTCCTTTGAAGTTGCATCCAGACACGTTGGACATTTCAATTCACAATTTCTAATACTTACGTTTCCTAATGCAAATACCTGAATGGCTGCTATCTGAAAGGACAGCAGTACAGCTTTAGGTACACAATAAACAATCTCAAATTTGTTAAGAAACAAAATCTTTCAGAAAAAGAGCTTGCCAGTGAATTTCTTGAGTGTTTGCTCAGTTGAAAGTCCTTTAAATCTTCACATCCACTGAAGACTCTTCTACTGAATTATATTTTCCATACCAGTGGGCCAGGAACTTCAAAATAACCAATAAAGCCTTTGCTAACAAAGCTACTATGAAACTGCTGTTTCTCAGTATAGCAAACACAGGTAGTTCATTTCTCTCACCAAATGCTACATTTTCAGAAATGCAAACAAGGTATATGAAAAGCAAATATACAGTACAGGTAATACATCTCAAAAACAGAAAGAAGTTGCTTGCTTTTTTAAATTGCTGGTTTAGAAGTATTTCCTCTATGTGGAAAGCTCCAGGTACCCCATTCCACAGTTTCAGGCAGTAAGAATAAATAGCACAGATAAAAATTTTAGGAGAACTGTCAGCATTGGCAGTTTAATGTCAAGATTCAGTTAACGGGAATCTTCAATACTTAGCCCCTCCCAAAATTCTTTTTCTTTGGCATTTTTTTAAAATCTTTTTTTTCATGGCTTAGAAACCATCCTGCAAAAGTCCTTGACAAAACTAGTGATAGCCATCAGTAGTAATAAAATTACAGAACATGAAGGTATCAGTTTGGCTATCAACAGGGAGACTCATCGCTATAATTTACACATTGATGTGCATTCTGAAGACCAGGCAAGCTTGACTCAGTATTTGGAATGACTCAGAATGCCTTCCTGAGCAGCACAGAAAAGTGAAATGACATTTCTTCTCCGCTGCACAACCTGTATTTCTGTACCAGCATCCTCTCTAAAAATGTATGAACACTGGAAGCATTTTACCCTCTGCCCACCACTGGCATTATCTCAACTTTGGAGAGGCTCCTTATGCTGCACCTTTTCCAGAAGAGGCATGAGGACTCCAAGTAGTTTCAAAAATAATAATACACAAAGGTTTGCTGGGTGGTAGAGAGTGTGACCAGGATACAACTAACACCAGTTTGGGATGTTCTGTTCTCACCTAGACATTTCAAGAGAAGCACAGTCATAGTGCATGAGCCATTCTTTACGTGGGCACAGTGCAAACCTGCCCCATGCCACCTCAGAATTTCTAAGGAAGTGACAGATCAGTGTTGAAGTGATGGAAGAAAGGCATAAAGCCCTAAATCCAAAGCACTAATATGAAAGGAATGCAAAACTACCTAACATTTATCTCTTGTCATATAAACAGGCAAGCTTCTGGTAGCTACGGATTCACATTCAAGTTATGGTGAATCACAGAAATAATTCAGTCAAACATCTTTTCAATTCCTTAACATATTTCTCATTTCCATACACAGATCCTGATTATGATCTACAAGATCAGTTCACAATCAGCAAACAAGAAACAAATCTACAGATAGTTTCCATAGTACTATATTCTTGCTAAGAACACATTCCAATAAAATTAAAAGGAAAACACTGTGATGAAGACTCTTCATGTAGTTCACGTAATTAGAACAGAATTAACTATTACACAGCATGCAAGGTTTTACTCTATTCTGCTGGTGTTACATCAGACATTACCAGAGATACACCACACTCACTTCACTTTGTGGCTCCTGAATTACTCTGTAAAGAGATGAAATCAGAGCACTCTTGTCTTTCAGGTTTGTAGCATAGCTGGATATGGATGCCTCTGGCAGTGTCTGAAAAATATATAGAGTATATTTATTGTAGTTACTAGAAAAAATAAGGTTTAATCATTAAAGTGTAGCAGCTATTTCAACAACTATTTTCCTTAGAAGTTATTATTTATCAGAGTTTACAGTGAACTAAAACTTGTTTCATAAAGAAATCCTTGCTATAGAAATCATCATTTTTCACAGCAGCAACGTTGCCAGAAGACACACAGCGCTATCATTTAGCAGAGAGCTTCTTTAAGAGATCAATGACATTCAATGGGAAATCATTAAAAAAAAAAAAAAAAAGGGGTGAGTTTCAGAAGTGCAGTTGCCACTGAAAATACATCATGTTCTGAAACCAGAAAAAAATGGCAATGCACTTCCCACTCTTTGCTGGTGTCAGTGACAACACATGCCCACTGTGAAATTTAAATACTGTGAAAGCTCGCTGCTTGCAGACCTGCGCTTTACTGTCAAGACTGACAGTACACAGACTGTAAATATTATTACAGGACACATTATTACCTGAAAGAACATAAACTCAGGTTGACAAGAACAGCTATCCTTTAATATAAATGGGTTTCCTTACAGTACTTAAAGAGGTTAAAAAGCTAATCTCTTTGACAATCCTTCGGAAGCTGCACCTCTAAACTTATTATTCATAGCTCCTACAGTACTACATTTCTGCAGCCCTACAAAGGAAATCATATCCCATTATAAAGACAGGAAAACAGATATCTAGCTGGACCAGGACAAAAATCTGTACTCACATAAGTTCCAGCCCATATTCAGAACAGCAAGATCACACCACACTGTCAGTATCGGGAGGAGAAACAAAAAATACAACAAAAAGCCAGTACCAAAGTTTGAAAAGAAATCCAGCAGAACTTCAGAAATGCCAGCTAGCAGTTTCTGGGGTTTAGCCTGTGTGTGTGCATCCAATTTTCAATTTCTGTTGTAAAAATTTTCCAGTTATTCAGCAGCAAGATTACTGAACACCATGCTGAGGACTCCCAAGACATTTCAACAACAGCAAGAGCCATCCAAGGAGTTACTCAAGACAAAGTCTAACACAAAGAAATTAGGCTGATCTAGAATCCACTTGGGTCCAAAATGGAGGTATGCTGCATTTTCTTCTAGTCACAACATTCTTAAAAGTCTTTAATTTCAGCATCTTACTGATACACATACAGCGTGTGAACCTTCCAGTCAGGGTGTTTCAAGAGCACAGTTTGACCATGATTACAAGATATGGTTTAGTAAACTAGGGTTATAATCCTAAACTTTTCTTTCTAGCGATTAAGCTTGCAAAAGTATTGTGCTTTGTTACAAAGCATACATAACAGAGACATGTTCCACTTTTTGGTTGTTAGCAGACCAGAGAGTGCAACTTAATAAAAGGGAGCTGTATGATTCATCCCTCCCTGAAGGTAGGAACCATTAGCTGTGCCACAAAATTCCTATCAACAGAAACAGAATAGAAAACACTGAATCAGAATATTGTAAGAAAGATGCTACTTCCACTTGCTCCTTACTTCTTTCAAGTTACATAAACAACATTTACACAACAATAAAGTGCTGGGCAAGCTTAGCAAACTCGTTGTGAAGTAACAGAAAATCTTGGCTTCATAACATAAGATACAGACAAGCTAGTTTTAAGGAAGCCAATATTTCTATCTGCTGTTGCGTTTGCCAGATAAAGGCCTGAAGACATAGAAAACTGACAATTCTTTACTTCAAAGTTGTCTTTACTGCTGGTAGAGTGAACGCTCTGGAAATAAAAAAAAAAAAATAAATGTGGCTTCACTTGTTAAACCCAAACATTTTTTCCTGGGGTAAAGACAGACAGAGATAATGCATGATATCCACTTCCTGCTTTCAGATCTTTCCTTCCATAGCATTTGCCCCTCTCAGAGTCAGAACTGACCTCACATACTGACAGCACAATGACTGAGAAATGCCATCTGCAAGGAACACACCTGGACATCTGACTGTAAGTAAGTGCTCTGAAAAAATAAGCAATCAGAACTACAGCACATGATGGAAGTTCAGCAAGTTCAACAGGTAAAGTGATCAGCAGCTATCACAGCATCTATCACACAGCACTGAATTTCTAATAATAAAACTTAAAGAAGCTACACCAGCAAGAATGAGCATGAATAACTCACTCATGTAGCCCATAAAAAGGTAAATGAAAGGAAAAAAATCAAAAGCCTGAGATTTGGGGTACAACACTATAGCCTGCAGTACATTTTTTGCCATAGGCCACTGAAGATTATTTCCTGGATCAGGAAGTAGGCAATCCCAAAGAAGACAATGAAAAAAAGACATCTATCAAGTTGATAGTTGTACACATCAGATTACCTTAAAATCCAAGGTTGCTAATCATCTTCATTTTCTACAAAAGTCACACACTCTTGCATTCGAGTCCAGCAGCAATTCAGATACCACAGGTTAAGTGTCTGATGGTGTGTTATTATTACCTTGAACTCCGATAACCACTCCTCCACAAGCCCAGTATCCACAGCTAACATCTTCCAACATCCGTTCCAAAACCTTCTGCCTGAAAGAATGTGCAAACAGTCTGTAAGAACTGTGCAATCACTGCATTAAATACATGATTAGATGAAGTTCCTGCAAATACTTAAGGAATCTCATCATGCTTTTACTCATTAACATTTCACATGCTGACACACTTTGAACTTTTATTCCACTTTGCTTTTGCAAGCTGCTGGAAGCATTAAGCATGAGTCGTCAGATACAGCAGTTTAATAAATCCCAAATACGTACTGCGTGGGAAGCTCAGCAAGTCAAAGATTTGCAGAAGGGGCATTTTGGAAACAGAAAATATTACCTTCTCAATTTCTATTTATTTTTCAGCTTACAGAAAGAGAGAAAACTATAGGAATTCACTGAATAGGAATTACTGTCCAAGCTTTTTCTAAACAACTGTTTTCTTAACTTGGAGAAGGACACTGAAAGTATGATGAAAACCTTTCAATCCACCTCTATCACTACAGCTGAAAGACAAGACAACGAGCCTGCAGCCTCAGCATGAAGCCCAAGGTAGAATTCCTTGCCTAATTCCTCAGTCAGAGCACGGGCAGCGGTACTCAGATGAATACAAAAGATGCAAAGTGGCTTTTGAAACTCATCCCTTATTTTCCCTTAATTTATTTAAAAAACATCTCACAACAAATGCTCTTTGGAACAGTTTATTCTGAAGCTAAGGGCAGCATTCCATTAAGATAAAAAACTACTAAAAGCATGCTGTGGAGGGTGCCCTAGGCATACTTCATTATTCTACATTAACTTACCAAACTGAGATCATGTATATCAAACAATGACAAATACTCATCTCAGGAGAAAATTAACAGTTACTTGAAGAAACATTCAGACATGAGTGAGATACCTTATCAGACTGTTCCAGTTTAAAATTAAGTTCTGATATCCAAGTATGGGAGTATATGAGAAGTTAAAACAAGGAAAGAGGGGAAGAATTGTCTCATAACATAAATAAATTTCAAGAATTGAAGAATTAAGAAAAGAACCAAGCATGATAATGGTGAGAGCTGTAAGGCCGTAAGGCCTCCAGTAAAAAGGAGGAAAAAGTTGTTTAAAAGAGGTTTCACTTAAAAAGAGAAGTACTGGAATCTTTTAAGGTTTGTAAGAGAATAACTATCCAACATATACTGCAAAAGCAGTACAACGGGACAGGCTATCTAGAAACTTTTTGTGTCACATTCACACAAAACAACAGCATAGCACAGATAATGCCAAAGGAAAGGGAGAAGGCAAGGAGGGGAACAGACGACCAGCTTAGTCACTACTTGAAGTCACGAGTTCTTAACAATCCAAAATTCAATAAAGAGGCACAATGAAAATGAGATCCATTTTAAATGACCGTGAGGCACAGCTATGATCTTTATGAACCCGCATCAGAAAGACCCAGTGCATACCACAAAACCCACTAAGAAGACAGTTCCTTCTTTCTCTCATTCAGAGAAGAAACTCTTCTGGAAGAAAGCATAAGAAAGGTTTGTTTCTGGTTTTGAAACTAGTCAGGTTTGGGTTTTGCTTTCTCTTTTAAGTGACGACTGAAAAACAGTTCACTGTAGTTAGAATACTGACACAGCTAGCATAAGCAAAAAACAAGAACTCACAGCATTACTGGGAAAGAATTTAGCCTGGGAAATCAACAGTCTGGTCAGGGTAAGAAATCTAAGCTCTTACTGAAAACAGCTAGTGCAGGTAGCTGCTCCAGAAAGACAAGAGAGGAAATCACAAAGGAAACTCACCTAGCTAAATATCAGCTCTTTCTGACCAGCTCTGATGATCTCTGAAGGTGTCATGAAGATATGGATTAGTAGCCTCTGAATCAAATCAGGTTTCTGTGCCAAACCCTGATGCAAAAGTGTAGTTTTCATGATAACACCACTGTGTGCTAACAAACACAAAGGCTAGACCGACTGCAATTCCTGAACCAACAGCCTCATCGTTTCCTACAGTCACATCTGCCAGCCCTACTTTTATTCCTGTGAAGGCAGACAAAGGCTTCTGCAATGCCTTATGTTTCAGCAGGGCTGAATAGTAACCATTCTTTACTGAGCCTCATCTATAGCATAAATGCTTGCACTAATATTGACTTCTGCATCCAGGATTCCTGGATACTCCAGTTCATGGCTGACACCAAGTTTATGGTTTATTACACACGCAGTATAAAATTTTTTCTTTTTTACCCATTTATGTTGATCTATCAAATGTTATTTTCAGACTGAACACTTCCAGAGAACACAAAATTTATTTGACCAGTGAAAATAATAAGAGCATCTTTGCCTGGCACTATCCACTGGGCTAAAAATGACACTTCAAGACTTAATGACATTGTATTTGAAGGTAAGTCTTTTTGTTGGTGTGTCAGGCACAAGCATAGGCTATAGAAAACTGAACTAAAAGAAAAAGGAAGCATTTTTGCTGATTGTGTCACAGAAAATGCAGACTGTACTTATTTTATCTTGATGCATTAATAAAAAAGTCACACCCTTCTAAACAAATGTTTTAAACTTAAGCACACATGCATCTACAGCAATACACTCACAAGTGTCACAGATAAAACCTAATTGTCTACTCGTTTTCCTTGAAGACAAATATTATGATTACTTATTAGGCTGATGTCCCCAGAAGGAAGAAGCACCAATTTTATACAGCAAGTATGAAACTGGTGCAAGTATTTAAACAAGCAGACAACCTGCTGTTTTGCTGAGGATTGCCAAGTTTTGCACTAGCTGGATAGACCATGCTGGTCTTCAGCAATGACAGATTTGGCAAACATGTACTGAGATTGCTCTAAAAGGACTGACAAATTTAACAGTGCAAGTTTTTCTTAGCACTAGACACATATTTTCTTAGTTTGTGCCACACACAAAGCAAAGCAACTTTAGAAGACTTATTCATTGCAAGTCTTACCACATTACTTCCCACTTGTCACATGATGAAAACAAGCATAAGTACAGCAGCCCAGATAACATACAGCAGATTTAACTGTTTATGTTAGACCTGCGAGTTGAAAGCATTTTGGAGTACCTTCCACAAGACTTTCACCTGCATTAGCAGCAAGAAATAGGATTTATACTAAATAATAAGTAACAAACAAGCTTGGCTAGTAGAACACTTTTGTCAAACAAGCATACGTAAAACCATATAGACATTACTAATCTCTAACATTAGAACCCTGTGCCACTTGAGCACTAATATCAACAAGAAAAGATTCTAACTCTAATTCTAACATTGAAAGTCTGCAATCCATTTTGACATAGTTTGGTATGTTCCCAAGCAATAAGCTGAGTAAGAGCAACAAATTGATCTTATTCTGTTCTAATACTGTAAGAAAACTCTCCTTTGATAGGAGATGGCAATTTTTGCTTTGTTTCAGGATAAATAGTGAATCTAGAATAAGATATAAAATAAGCTTACCTGAGAAAAGCCAAGTCTTGTTTGGAAAGGTCTCTACAAATGTCTATGAAGACCCTTTGGTGTCAGGAACTTACTGCTTCAGTAACAGGCAGGGAGAAGTTGCTATGCACCAAGCTGGTGGAGGGCAAGCCAAGATCAATGAAAATATATTCTCTGGCAAATCTACAGACAGATTCATCTACTCAAATGACTTCAATTTTCTGTATCAGTCACTCAAAAGTTTTTCTTCACGTTTTAATATCAAATGATGGCCTTAAATGAAATCAGACAACAGACACGCAGGCTGTTCTCAACAAATAAAGAAGAAAATCTCACAATAGATGGCTTTCCTATTTTTTTAAACCTGCCCAGCCTTTGGAGAATTTATCCACAGGATGTGTGTGCGTGTGTGAATGAACTCTGGATAAAGTACAAGGAGGCTGGACTTGGATGAAGAATGAACACTTGAGTTCAGAAGTGACCTTCTGGAATCACAGTGTGAGGCATTTGATAGCGGAAAAAAACAAAACCAGGATCCAAAAACTGATCATGTCCCATCCTTTGGGAACTGCTGGAAGAGGAGGAAAAGCATCGACTGTGCCCTTACCTAATCTGAAAAGCATCTATTTGGAAGTTTGTACACTTGCTAAGTAGCAGGTTTTTTTCGGTATTCAGTTAAACAGAACTACAGGAAATACATTGCAAAACATAATGATTTTTTTTAATCAACTACCAGCCAAATTTGTGAACTCAACTCGGAAAAGTAACAAAACAAAATTCTGAGCATTCTTTTACAATGCACCAGTCCCATAAGAAACCAAGTCCCTGGTACACGTTAATTTCTTTTTTATGTAGTTCATTTTCAGAAGAAGGGAACATCCCACTAGTACTCAACATTTTTGGGTGGGGAGAAATTTTTGGTCAGCTCTGTATATTACGTCAAGTTCACTTAAGGATTACAGTCTATACTTGGAGCTCGCATTACTAAGCCCTTTTCTATCCCAGCTCATTACACAGACAAAGACAAAACCTTGGTAGGCCTCAGAAGAGAACACAGCACTCAAGAAAGTGTATCTTTAACTAAATCAGCAATGAAGCAAACTTATTTTGTGTGTTAACGCGTGACTAATGCATACTCTAGCAATACAGTGATCTATTCATTAATTATGAAATTTCAGACACTGTCAAACTATCATCTTAAAACAGATTCTCACAGTTGCAGTAGTGGATAGCAAATTACTCAAAGTCTGTCAAGAAAAGAAACCAATGCTGCTCCGGGCTTTGAAAACCACTTTGGAACGTTCTAAAAACCACAAAGGCCAGGTCTGACTTCTCGACACTTTTCAAACTTGCACAAAGAGGAAGAAACAAAAAAACCCATTGTACTGTGCCTGAAACAGTCACATGCTCAACGCATAGAACGCTCATAGACTCAGCATCAAATATTCTCTTGTAATTGCTGCCTTCGTTGTGAAAGCAGGCATTGTCAACAGGACAGCTAAAGGTGCTCCAAGTGTCACTGACACAGGCTCAAACAAACTCCTAAAACGACAAGAGACAGCCATTTAGCTGCTTCTAATATGATAACTAACAAGTGCTAAGGCTCAGAACAGAAGGAGTTTCCAAAAACAACGCCAAGGAAGCATGTACTGATTCCCAGGCCAGAGTACATTAAGTTTACATAAACGCACAGAAAAAGCCCGGATGCATCCAGGGAAGAAGAAACCATCAGCAGCCACTAAATGTAGGAACACATCCTCTAGTTCAGAAAGTCCATGTCAGAAGCTAATCCCCAAGAAGCTGACTACTCATCTAGCTTTCCCTATCACCACATGCCTGGCCTTCCTGTCTAGGAGCCTATTAACAGCATTAGACAAACCAGCTTCAGAAATTCTAGTTTGACTCAGTGTGGTCAATACCTCAGTTATCTTCACCACTGCAGCACCAAACCCACGCCAGCACTCAGCTTGTTTCCAGTGTGTTTGGTTTTTGTTGTTTCCTGTAAAGGTTACAGAACCTGAAGAGCTGAAAATGCAATGAATGTGAATTTCATGAACTGTTCTCCAGTCTTGTGCCTTTTTTCTCCTCTGGCACCCAGTCCATCAGCACAAGAAGCCTTACTTGAAGCTAATATTATAGATCAGAGAACAACAGCTTTGAAATGTCAGTGCTATTGTCCCATGACAGACTTAAATAAGATTACCTGATCTTGCGCTCATATGCTTCTTAAATGGCGCACTGTTGAAATATGTGAATGTTTGGCACTCACAGATAATGAAAAAAATAATTATACTGAAGCAAGAAAGCATACAGTAGACTGCACAGAAATGACAGAAAGCTGCCTCAGATGCATTTGTTTCTTATGTTAAGGATACAGCACCACAGAATGCTGACACTATGCTGCCCAAAAACCTACACACAAGTACTGGGTGTATAAACTACAACTCACCCTTCTACAACCCTCAAATTCTGTAAACACAGCTGGAAGCAACAATTGAGGTCACAATGCCATTTCTCAGGCTGGCCACAGGTGACCCAAACCAGTTCTGGAGAAAGCTCTCTATAGTCTTGAGCAGTGGTTGGGTCCCTTAAGCATGTGCTGTAACAGATTTTTATTCTGATCTTTGACTCCTGGCAATTACATTCGCTTTGATTTCTGATTAGAGAGCAACAATTATAAACCACCTTTGTACACAACCAACTTTGTACTTGCCCTCTACCAGGCAGAAGATAACTCTTCAAACACAACCAGATGACTCATTCCAGCTAAATAAATCATGATAGAGAAGAAAGATTTAATATTGATACAGTCCCTTGAATTTATACAAGCCACAGTAAGTCACATTTAAACTGTTAAAGCTACACAAAAGCAACCCTCATAGTACAGTACCAAACTGGAGTAAAATTAAGTAACTTCTATAGCCTGATTACTTTTTTTTTTAGTCCTACTTTACCATTTCTTCATTGCTGCCTTCTGCAAAAAAGCACACCTTAAACAAAACCATTGTCCTCATGACCACAGCATCAGCCAAACCAGCCACAGTAAGCCAGTTTACCCTAATTACATGCCATTCTCCAGCTTGTAGATGCCCTACTCTGTTACACTTGAGGATATACTGCAAATGAAAGTTTTCCAGTGAACTGTAATAAAGCAATACCTCCATGCATTATAGGAAAGTAAAGCAAGAGCTATCACTTTCAAAACAGTTGTTCTGAGCAACCTAAATATACTTACTTCCTCTTTTGTCCTGTTCCACGCAAACACTGTTCTTCAATCTCTTAAAAAAAGCAAATATAAACAACCCAGCCTCAGACAAAATAAGAAAACTGGTTGAAAAATCTTGCCTTAAACTACGTCCGTACTTATTGTGACTTAATAGAGTTATCAGTTTCACATACATAAGGAAAACTCAAAGTAATAACTACATGAATCACAAGGAAAGAGAGTTTAAACTAAGGCAATGTTAAAGGGAGTACAATCAAAAGCTCAACCAAACATTTGAACTAACAAAGAGAATTATGTGAAAGGGAACAGTGTGCTAATACCACTGAAGTCACCTAATCCATACTGGTTTTCCAGGTTTTGCTCCAGTCAGAAAATTTCACAATATTAAAATAAAGGTATTGTCTTTACTCTCTGAAAGAATTGAAAAGCTTTAGAAAAAGTTACATGCTTTTCTTACGTGTCAGCATTGCTGTATCTTATGTCAAGAAGCACAGTACACAACCCAGGGCTCTCACCACCTCTGTAAGGGAACACGGTGCTGCAGAAGTTGTCCACTTCCAAGAATTCTGCACACAACTCAAAACAAAGCAAAGCTACTGTTCTCACAGGACCTCTTTCCCCTAAGCCCAAAGAACACAACACCATGCTGAAGCCAGGAGGTACCCCTGAAACCCTACAACAAATTCAAAATGGTGAAATAGAACAAACTGTGCAGAGAGAATGATCACGTTGCAGCTTTTGTTTCAGTGCCACGTGCAAGCTTGGAACCACCAACCAAAAACCTTAACAAGAACACTAATCATTATTATGCTAGCAATGCCATGACCTCCAGTTACCTTCTCTGCATCATCAAATTTCAGTTTTATTGTAGTTTCCCTTTACTAACAGTTGCTCATTTCATCTAGCTGTTTGTAAAGTCTGTTTGTTGCTAATTTTAAAAACAAGTTTTCCTTCCTGTGAAAACTGTAAGTCACTTCCAATTAGTTCCTTTGTAAGAGATCAAAAAGAAAGGTGTCAGGTAATTCAGCAGTTGGGAAAAGACTGTCCGTGTAATGAGCGAATAAGCAGATGCTGCACAACAGCTTGAGCATGACCTAAAAAGCACGCAGAGTACTGAGCAGAGGCTGTGCTCAGCATCAACTGTTAAAGGCACAATTCCAACACCTTCTAGCATAACAGCTAGTTATGAAAGAAGAAAGCTAGAGAAAGCAGAAGAGTGTATCTAGCAAAGAGTTAAGCAGTGGCTCTTGCCAACAGACTCAGCTCACAAAGGGGCAGCAATCAGAGGAAGCTTTTCACCTACTGCTTTTCAGTAGCAACCTTAAGAATGCAACACTTGGCCAAAACCTCTTGGCTCTCCTTTCTCAGAGCACAGTTTCAGGAGATTTGCCCATTTCCAACTCCAGTCTGGGTAGCTACTGCTTGCCTAATTTGAAAGGCAGAAATGCCTGCCTCCAGACCGACAGAAGCCATACACAAGTTACAGGAAGCTGCATTTTCCAAAAGAGAGGTACATCAACACTGAAAATAATCTTAGAACTTTGTTTGCTTGAAGTGGTATTTCTAGAAGTAGTGATCAGTACGTTAGTGTTCGGTTACAAATTCAGAGCCCTATTCTGGAGCACAGACTTCAGGACTCAGTCTAATAAATATGTCTGCAGCCTGAAAACAAAGCAGTCAAAATTTGTTTCTATAGTAATCTCAACTCGAGGGACTTCAACTTGTAAACAGAATGCACTAAATCAAGTTCCAAGAGGCAAATGAAAAATCATTTGAACTGCTGAGGCGATTATGACAACGCATGAAATTGGTCATTGACTGCACACAGATTTGGGACACAGTGGACTCAAATGAACCAGGGCAGAACAACATCAGGACAGCTTAATGGCCCTAGGAAGCAAAAGGTTATGTTCATGAACACTGTCAAACCCACAGCAAAGAGGAGTTGCAATGAAGCAAAAGCAAAGCAAGCTATCCCACGAGAGGAAATGATAGATAACAAAATGAAAATAAATCAGTGACTGGCCACTCTTCCAACAGTATGGCATTGTTTTCAAGGAGAGAGAGAGGTATAATTGCTCAATGTAAAAGGACTGTACTCCCATCATCGAAAATGAGCAACAACATTTGAGGAACCTCTTAAAGGGTAAATGTGGTATCAGCTGGTTCCTGTTGGTTTCATCATCCACTTAA